GGCCAGGATAGAAACAGGAGCCTTGAGATTTTAAATCTTGGAGGATCTTTTCTGAGAGTAATAGTTAAGACCTAACAGTGTTTACCTTGCTCAGAGTAAACAGGCCCAGTTCCAATCACAGCTCTGCCACTGAGTCATCAAGTAGACTTTGGGCAAATGGTTTAAGCTTCTTACACTTCAATTTCTTCAGCTTCAAAGTAGAGCTGTTTGGAGATTCAAATGGCAGAGTGCATTTCAAACACCTAGCCTGGAGAGTAGCATATAGTAAGGATTTAATAAACATTACAATCATCGTATTCGCTATCCATTGTTGTAGAGCTGGCAGCTAAAAACATTTGTGAATGAGAAGCTTATACCAGCAGGTACAAGAAGAAATACAAGGAGGTCTTGGAATTGTCCGAAATTCGACCTATCCGTTTCAAATGGCCAATAGGAGCCTTGGAAACTTGGCCACTTCTGACTCTCTTCTCTAAGTCTCCCTTTGTGCCACCCTCCTCCCAGCCCCCATCTGTCTCTGCAGGTCCTTACTGGAGAGGGAAGCATATTTTTCTAATTCCCAAACTAGAGACATGGTCTGACAAGTATAGTTAAGTCTAGAAGGAGACAATGCACAGAATATTTCAGTCTGGTTCTAGTTTAGCTCTTCTAAGTAATGGGCCTGGGGCACTGCTAGGCAACACATATGCCTGCCTCTCCCTCTGCAGTTCAGGTACCTCCACTGCCCAGGTGGCTGACACCTATTTCCACGGGATGTCCCCTGGGTAAAGACAGTGGATTACCACACTATTTAATAAGGGGTGGAGCGGCCAGTGCATAAAAAGTATTATTAGCCCTTAGCACCTGGGAATGAACTAATTGTCAGGTCGTCTAAAAGAACTCCTAAGGGCACCTGGGTGGCAATCGGTTAAGCGGTTAAGCGTCTGCTTCCGCTGAGGTCACGATCCCAAGGTCCTGGGATCCAGCCCGGCATCGGTCTCACTGTTCAGTGGAGAGCCTGCTTCTCCCTTCACCTGCCTCTCTATCAAATAAATAAATAATAAAAAATAAAAAAATAAGAATAAGAATAAAAGAACTCCTAATAGGATCTTAGGGGGATATGGCAAGGATAGTAATAGATTAGAAATCATTTCTAAACTGGAATGCTACCGGAACACGGCGTCACCTGGGCACCTGGTATGCAGAAATGGAGAATGGGAAATTGGTTAAGTGCAGGACAGGGTTGATAGTTGCTCTGATTCTTAACTTGACCTAAGATTGGTTTTGCCCCAGCAAATTTTAAGGCTGTGGGACCTCAGGATGTCACCCTCACCAGCCTGGGGTCTGGGTGGCAGGACCGCTGGGGTGGGGACCAAGGCCCGTGACCTCTTTCTTTTCTCGATATCCCCACGCGGGCCCAGAGTAGGGCTCTCCCCTAGGAGCTCATCACGTGCACAGACCCAGCTTTTCAAACCCGATCCGAGGCCTGCGGTCCCTGTGGTCCCGGACGCCGGGGTGGTTTTTAGGGTTTTCTTTCTTTATTATTTCCCTTCTTGTTCTTCATAGTTGGTGATTTTCTGCAGAAAAACGGCTGAGAAAAAAGAACCTATTTCATTTCCAGTTCCCATCATCGCGATTTCCACATGGATGTGACGTTGGGCCAGCTTCCGAAATGCCCAGGTGACTCACGCGGGGACACCCGGGGGCGGGGCTCAGGAGTTTCTCGCGCGGGGCGGGGCGGGGCGCCGCTCGCCTCCAGCACCCTTTGCGCCTCCCGAGCCCTCTGCGCCCCCTGGCGGCCGGCGACGCGCGGCTCTCGGCGCCGGGCCGGGCGTCACGTGACTGGAAAGTCCCCGGGTGGAAATCCCCGCTCTCCGCCGGCGGTAAAACAGAAAGGGAAAAAGAGAACTGGCAGTCTGCAGTCTTCGCAGCGGGCCAAGTGCAGCGAGCTCGGAGCCCGTGGGGGCGGAGCGGTGACAGCAGCCGCCGGGAGAAGTGCGGCGGCGGTGGCGGAGGGAGGCAGCGGGCGCCATCCCCACCCCCGGCAGTGCTAGCGAGCGAGCGCCGAGCCCCGGCGTCCATGGGGCGCCTCCTCCGCGCGGCCCCGAACCCCGCCTGCGGCGCGCGCCTGCCCTGACCTGGACTTGGGACTTCGTTAGAGGAACGCGCGGCGGGGACAGGTAACCGCCGCGTCCCGTTGCCGTCTGCCACGGCTCGGCGGGGTCAGGGGCTGCGGGTGTGTAATCGGCAGCGACTCGCGGGCTGACCCCGTCTACCTGGCATGGGTTTGTCAGCGGTCCTGGAGGGGAGTTTGGTGGCCGTTTGTGCCCACTGTGGGTTTTGAAATGCTAGGAGTCGAGGTCGCCGCGCCAGATGTTGGCGTGACAGCTCTGGAATCCTCCAGCCAGATGTTCCTTTTAAATACTGCAAAGAACTTAAGCTGTAGCAGACTCCTGGCGAGTAGCCTCCGGACTCCCAGGTTGGGTGGTCCTTGGTGTTTCGCTCTTTTTCGTGCCTTTCGTATTTTTAAATCGAGCTCTGGATGCTGCTGGACACGTAGACATTGCAGAACCGCTATGGCTTCTTCCCAGATTGTGCAGAAGCACCCCACCGCCCGTGGGATGTCTGGGAGGCCACGAAACCGGGCGGGGGTGGAGGACTCCGCCAGCCAGCCTGTCCGGGGACAGCTTGCAGACACTGGGAGTGAAGTGCGGGGAGGTGGGTGGGGTCCAGGGACAGTGTCGATCCTCAGTGGCAGCCGTGCAAGAGAAGTGTGCAAGTTAAAGTGGGCCGTCGGCCTGCTTTTCGGGTGCTCCAGTTCGCAGTGATCTGCAGGTCCCTGCCCCAGCCCCTACCCCACAGTCAGACAGTCTTTGTCAGCCCGGGTTGTCCCACATCCTGCCACCTGGCCTCTCAGGAAAGCAGTGGTATTAAGTAAGGAAGGAGCTCAGCTCTTTTGAGATCGCTTTGTTTTCAGTTCTCCCTGCCTCTGATCTTCTTTCCTTAGAAAGCTGGTCTCTGGTCAAGGGACTCGGGGCAGCATCTGGGAAGAACCATTGTCGATTAAACCAAAACCCCTGTGTCCCTAATTGTTGAGCAGCCACTTACTGCTGCGTTCTCATTGTCTAAGGGGCTGCTTTGATTTCTATGATTCTTTGTACAATTTTCGAAGTTTAGGAGGGATCCTTTGCAAAAATTCGATGAGGCATTTGTGCATAAAAAGTCAGTGAAGTAACAAATGTAAAAGAAATGTTAAGGGTCATAGCGACTGTCTTTAACCGTAAGGACACTACCATCATAGGCCGGGAATATTTATTCCTTAATCTTAAATTTGGAGAAATCCGAGAACTGGGAATTTGGATGGTGGGTTTTGATTCTTTGAAGGAGGCGGTTCTGCAGTCTGTGCAAGGCCAAACCTATGAATGAGAGGACCGTGGGCTATCTGGTAGGGACATTTGCATGTCTTGATTATGGCTTACGGCTCTCACTATTTGAGGTCTTGGCTGAAAGGTCTTGAAGTGAGAAGAGAATAATAGAAGACTCAGGAAAACAAAAAGGCAACACCTAGCTTGTTTCAGATCTTTTTACTTCCCGCCTCATCCCACCTGAGAGCAGCAGGCATTGCAGCCGCAGAGGTGGTGCTGTGGGAATAGCAAGGGGCAGGTGTCGGAAGATCTGGCGTCTAGGCAAAGCTGTCTGCCTTGGCTGGTGTGGAACCTGAGCGGAACGTGTACTTCTGTTGCTTTGCCTGCAGACAGGGAATAAGGTCATCTTGGGTTTTTTAGCCCCAGCATCAAGCATGGCACTCTACCTTTAGTAGGTGGTCAGGTAGTGCTTTTTGAGTGATGGACAGATGAATGAGTGACATTGCGAGACTTTGGACCTGCCATGAAGTGGAGATGGGTGTAATGTTTTTATCCCCTCATTGTACTTATGGTCCTGCTCTAATTTTGCCCAGTTCCACCTCCAGGGAATGTCTGACGTCAAAGGAAAGATTACCAACTGACCCAGAGAATTACTTCTCCCAGGCCTCACTGGCAATCAGATTAGGAATCCTGATCCAGAGCTATCACCAGAAAGCAATCTCAGGGTCATCTAGTCCAGCCTCTCTGCTTTGAGTGGACCGCAAGAATTTAAACCGCTTCATCAATGGCTTTAAGAGAGCCTAGACCCACGTAGGAAAGACTTCCCTAAAAATCTAGGTTTCTTCTCACTTCTACATAGGTTTCAGGTCTTCCTCAACTAAAAGCTTGCCCTGGTAAATAGTATGATACAGGAGCGAGATTAACAATTGTCATGAAACTCCCTAGGGAATATCTTCATGCTCTGAAACCATCTTTGTCTTCATCTTGGAAACCAAGATGTATGGTGAGGCACCCTGCTGAGGCTTGTGAATGACAGCTGGCTTTCCACACAACCCCACACTGCGAGGATACCATGTTGTGTCAATTCACAACAACCCAGGCTGTTGGCATGGGTTGTAGATGCTGGGTTTTGTCCCCAGCTTCCTTCATTTGTCCTGAGTGTTCCTGACCATCTTTCCTTGCCTGCTTCCAGACGTTGATTTCTTTCCACCAGTGGATTATGCTTGAAGATTTCAGCATGGAGACAGGGTGGGAAATGCAGCTGAGTGTTGGTCCCTGGAGGATAATAATAAATGTGGTTGGCAGTTGCATTGGAATAATAGAACTCTAATGCCTGTTCTTGGAAGTGTAAAATTTATCCTTCTATTATTCTTAAAATTCTATTTCTTATTCTGATGTTGTAAAGTTCAACAGAGAGGGTTCCGAAAGACTTACTGTTTGCTCTTAAAATTGCAAAGCATCTTACTGGAAATAGGCTTTTTTAACCTTTATAAATATTATAATACATTTTGCAAATGAGCTCTTTATAAATACTTCTCCTTGGGACTGAAGAGGAAACTCTAATCAGAAGCCTAGGTAATAACGTAAAATTGCAAGGTTTTTCACAAAGCATTTCTTTGGAGTATAGGGAGGGAGGGCTTGAAGGAAAAATCAGGAAAAATCAAGGAACTGCCGGAGAGCAAGGACTGCTGAACCATGGTCTTATGGGAGGAGTTACAGACTTGCCCAGGCTGCCTTGTGTCCTTCACTGGCATTCAGGGCTCCAAAGACCCAGTGGCTGTGGCGTCAGGGTGCCATGAGAATGTGAGGGGAGCTTGCCGGTTATGAGGTGCAGTACCTGTTGCTGACAGATAGGATTGGCTCCCGGACAAACGTTACTGAAAACGCGGGTTATTCCCCTCCTCCTCAGTACCCACTCCCCGCCTTCCTTCTCTTGTTTAGACTAATCTTTAAAAGTGATGTAACTTAAAACAGTCCAGTGTGAGTTAATCTTGGGGGCCAGCTAGTATCCTGGGAGTAGAGGTGACTAAGATCTTTTGCCTACAGATTAGGGTAATGACAAGATCAAACACTGGGGTTTCCTGTAGGCAGGTATATAGGAGTGGTATCAAAGGCGGACTAACGGAATGGGTTTTTCTCCCCTCCTCTTCAGGTATCGCAGAGCACAATGGCTGAACAACTCCTTCCCCAGGCTTTGTATTTGAGCAACATGCGGAAAGCTGTGAAGATACGAGAGAGAACTCCGGAAGACATATTTAAGCCTACCAATGGGATCATTCACCATTTTAAATCCATGCATCGATACACACTGGAAATGTTCAGAACTTGCCAGTTTTGCCCACAGTTTCGGGAGATCATCCACAAAGCTCTCATTGACAGAAACATCCAGGCCTCCCTCGAAAGCCAGAAGAAGCTCAACTGGTGTCAAGAAGTCAGGAAGCTGGTGGCGCTGAAAACAAATGGTAAGAAGACTTGTCTAAGGCTTGGCTCCCACCGTGCTGGGTCCCCATTCATTCAATTCTGATAGCGCTGGCCCAAATTCAAGTCTCTCGAGAGCACAAACCCCTTAATATAGAATACTCTATGAAAGACCTGTGATAAAAACAAGCTGGTTTTGCCAGTATTTTTAGGAAGGATATTTTGTAATTGTGTGTATTAGAGAGCAGAGGCACTGAGGCTTGAAAAATGCATTCCGAAATTCCGTGCCTCCCATTGAGGGATTTGTGTGTCTAATTTTTGTGGCTGTTTGTATAATCATTTGTAAAATACCCTTTCCTGGCCAGTAATGGAAACATTAAAAGGCTTTAAGTTCAAAAGGAAAGCATGGTGTGAAAGCTAGTATTACTATTGTTTCCCACTGTCATTAGACGATGCTCGTAGTGATGACCTTACACGACTTGAACTGATGGCATTTTGTGGATTAACCAGTGAATGGCTGTTGCCTGCCTCTCCCTTACCTAGGTTCTGTTGGTTTTGGTCCCATGACATGAAGTGGAAGGATACTTGAGATTTTTAGCACAAACTTTAGAGCTTTACTTCATTATGTTTAGGGATTCCTAGTTCTGAATTTCTTGCTATCTGGGTGTATCTTCTCAATGGCCCTTTACCACTAATAGCTGTTTCCTGTTCTAAACTTTACTGTTTTGCTTTTTGATTGTTTCCTTCGAGCAAGAGTGTGTGCATCATGGCCACATCCAAGCACACTGTTTCAGGCAGATAAAAAATCCTTCATTATAATGTCGCTGATTATTACAAGAAGCAAGTAGACTGTCCATGATCAATTAAATGCTTATAGTCTAGATGAGGGCAGGAATCAGGTTCTTATATAAGTAACTGTCCTTCTTTAAGACCACCTTGATCAAATTAATACATCCAAGCACAGAAATCCTTGTTGACAATGAGAGGATGAGAGTATTAATTAACTTGTTTGGTACATTCACTTTGGCCATTTTTGAGTTGGGCAGTGTGGAGTGCCTGGAGATAGGTATTTTGTGGTGTTCGGTGAGGGGGGGTTGGTTCTGGTGCATTACTTGAACATCTTGCCTCTACTTTTGAAGCACAGATTCTTAGAAACAAAGAATGAAAACTGGGGAGAGCTAATGTTTACATTTTTCTTGGCCTTAAATCAAGGGATGCGTAGAAGTGGGTAATTATGTTAAGTCATCATCAAGGGGTTTATATTCCTGACAGTTTGTGGTTTTAGCTCTTTCCCATTTTGTTACAAAAAAGGAATGGAGTGAACTCTGGGAGAGTTGGAAACAGAGAGATTCTGCCAAACTAGAGATGTGGTAGGAAGAGGAAAACCTTCTTATCATTAACAGAATTAACTGACATTTTAGGTTGAACTTACTCCTTAAGAAAATAATGGATACAAATAGTAAACACTTGTTTTGCAAAGGTGTGTCATTAAAGTCTACAAGGATTCATGCTACAAATAAAGCTACAAAAGCAAGTGCATTTTGATAACATTTTCTGGGAAATAGGAATGTGGTGGGGACTCAGATCTTCTTATTTCCCCACTTTAAAGAAAATTCCTTAAAATTCTGGAAAAGGAAAAAAAAGATATTGGGGGGATAGACGAAGCGATTTTTACTCTCTGGCTTTTATTAAGCACCTTTTTTTTTTTTTTTAAACCCCCAGCCCCTCAGGAGGGTTGTACAAAGTCAGTGGTCTCTTTGGGGAGGGGTGATTCACAAGTTTGCATTTGAGGATATGAGACTGCGGTGAATGAGGAAGGGAGTAGGTGGCATAAAATTGAAACTTCAAGTGAAAAATTCCAGCGTCTATTGGCTGCCGCGATTTCACTTGTATAATGAGTAGCCCTATTCCAGCTCACCCTGACCACACCCACTTGGAAAGTCCAGGGCGCCCTTCGCAGTTTAAATGTCTACACACCAGAACAAAAAGTACAATAGCTGTTGCTCAATTGCTAGTCAAATAACTTAGCACTGGGGAATTCCAGATGTTGCTTAGGGAATTTTGTACTGGTGCATCTCAATAAAGAACTGAAAGTAAGCACAAGAAGAAGAAAAAAAGCCTTATCTTTGCTCTAGATTTTGCAAAGGGGAAATTTCAACAGAACGCAATTGTTGCCACACTTCTGCCAAGACAAAAGGCTAAGCGATCTGTTCTGTTCATTCCTGTGAATACTTACTTAGTTCGTTTTTCCCTATGTATGAATTGCAGGGATATGAGTTGTAGATGGGTATATATGCTTGAGGGGTTTTCTTTGTTGTTTTGTTTTTGTTTTTTACAGTTTGAGTGTACTTAAGATTTGCTAAAAGCTTCAGAAAACGATAACCCTACTTGTAGAGTAATGTAAGAAAACAGTCGAACTCCTGTTTGTAAAAACAGCAGTGCCCTTGGCCACAAGTCACTAAGGAGTTGACTTTTTTGATATTAAACATGCCCCCCAAAATGTTTATTGTTTGGAGGTTAGACAAAAGGCAGCCTCTTGAATTGTGGGTTTTGACCTGTGAAAGTAACAAATTCATGAAGTAAAATTAGACCTGTTTCTCACAATGCTCAAAGGCAGGCTGAGGAGGTAATGCGGTGTTCTCGATCCCACTTGATAAACCAGGAGAGGAAACTCCCAGGCCCCAGAGGCCTCAGTGGAATGGTCAAGTCATTTACCACTGAGTCATAGCCAGACCGTCCCTGTCTAGTAAGCGGAGCCAAAACAGCTTCCTGGTTTGTGCACCATACCCCCTGTGTTCTCTCTAGAGCCACGGAGTAATAGTGCCAGTATCTTAGGCAAAACATCAAGGAATGCTAGAATGGGACAGACTTTAGAGATCATAACCCAATACCCTCATTTCACAAAGAAGAAAAAAAAAAAGCAACACTCAGAAGCTGAGGAATTTCCCCCAAGGTCACACCTAAACCAGTTAGGGCAAGCCAGGCTAGAACCAAGGTCCCCTGATAATCAGTTCCTGGCCCCTTTGTTCTGTTGGGTCCATCGTTAAAATTAAGAGTGGAAAGAGTGGTTTTTTTCCCTAAAGCTGTCATCCCCTTGTGAAATGTTCTCAGTTGGCTGTTGGACTAAGAAAGTAAACCGTTTGCATCTCTCACATGCCCCTACTAGGTCCCCTGTACTAGAAGCAGGGCTAGTGCATTCTAAAAACTTTTGCTAGGCCTTTGATGTGTATGGCTTCTTCCCCAGGTGATGGAAACTGCCTCATGCACGCTGCTTCTCAGTATATGTGGGGTGTTCAGGACACAGACCTGGTCCTGAGGAAGGCTCTCTTCAGCACTCTCAAGGAGACGGATACACGCAACTTTAAATTCCGCTGGCAGCTGGAGTCTCTTAAATCCCAGGAATTTGTGGAAACGGGGCTTTGCTACGACACTCGGGTATGTTTTGTTTCCCCATTAAATATCTATTGATAGAGCTCCATGGTGGGTGAAGGGCCTCTCGGGCCAGCCCCCGCTCTTGAGGACCATATGACTTCCTAGGTCACATGAACTTGGCTAAGCAGAGCACAGTCCATGGAAAACACCAGAAACCTCCTGTGGGATGAACCTGAGGCTTTTGTCACTGCTGGGAGGTTTCCAGGCAGCAGATTCCCAGCTGTGGATCTCTTCTTTTTAGCAGAAGGGCTACTTGGCCTTTCCTGTGGTGTTTTGGTTGCTTTCCCATCTGATTGCTCTTTGCATGCTTTACCGAGCCTGCCAATCAAATTCAGACGTGGGGCTCACCATTCTCAGTCACAGGCTTGGAATTTTTGTGAACATTTGGATAAGGGGCTTTGTTGTTATGCCTCATCAGGGATTTTTTTGAAAGCAGGTGCTGTCCCCATCCTCCCCAACTTCTAAGTTGGCCTTCTAGTGGAAAAAAGTAAAGGAAGAAAACCAAACTGGGGAAAAAAGTGTGACCAGTCAAATGATGATTTCCAGAAAGGGGAAAAGTCAGCCAGGTTATATAAATGAATAATTGTAGAGCAAAGTCCGACTGACTTTTTAATGCATAGTTCATTCAATCCCGATTTCCCCTTTACCCACTTCCTAGAATTGGACTGATGAATGGGACAGCCTAATCAAAATGGCATCCACAGACACACCCGTGGCCCGAGGTGGACTTCAGTATAACTCACTGGAAGAAATACACATATTTGTCCTTTGCAACATCCTCAGAAGACCAATCATTGTCATCTCAGGTGAGAGCCTGCAGGGTGCTTATTTGTATTCGCGGGCCGGTTGGCTTTAATGCGTTAGCTCTTCGGAAAAACCGAGGCTACCTGAGGCTACCCGGGTCACCAGCAATAGTAGCTGAAGGGAATTTGATGAAAATCACCTGAGGGCCTTATTTCTCTTGCTCTTTCCCTAAACAGACAAAATGCTGAGAAGTTTGGAATCGGGTTCCAATTTCGCTCCCTTGAAGGTGGGCGGGATTTACCTGCCTCTCCACTGGCCAGCCCAGGAGTGCTACCGATACCCCATCATTCTCGGCTATGACAGCCAGCACTTTGTACCCCTGGTGACCCTGAAGGACAGTGGACCTGGTGAGGACACAGCACGGATTCACATTTGTAACTGCTGCTAGATACTGGAACACCTTGTTCCCACTGACCACTGGGCTCTTTGAGGCCCTCTGGCAAGAGCCTCATTTATGTTTATTATTTGTATGTGAATACAGTGTTCTGTCACGTGCCTGGTTAGCAACAGTAATGCCATAGCAGTCATCCCGCCCTCTTTGTGTATGGCTTGGAAAGCACTTCCCACAGCTTAGCTGCAAGTAGAAGATCCTGTGACGTGACCACCGCCCTTTGATATATGACAGAGTGAGGCGCACAGAGCCCTGGCCCAGAGCGGGTCAGTGTCTGTCAGGTTAGCCATTACTAAGATAGCTTCCAGTGGAAGAGGCAGTGTGCGAAGTGCTTTAGGGGATAAATGTAGACGTTTATTTCATCTCATTTCATCCTCACAGCGTCCCTATAGACCGTAAGCACTGGAAGCCTTGTTTTACAGAGATGCTTAAAGCTCAGAGAAGTTCAGTAACTTCCCCGATGTCACAGAGCTTGACAGTGGCAAAGCCAGGATTCAGACTCAGATCAGCATGGTTCTGAAGTGTGATGATTTACCCAATGAGATCCACTGCCTCCAGGCTGCCTAAAGTTCTCTGAGCTTCCAGAACATACAAAGCATTTTATGTTAGAGTTTAGTGTAGTTTGTTTCCCCATCTGCATTTGATTGTGACTAGATGACACTTTTCTACCCTTTTTTGTATCTTTTCTGTGTTTGTGAAATGTGACCATTATATATGCAGCCTCACATATAATCTCATTTAGTAGAAACACGTGTCGCTCATGTGTTGCTTCTTTCCCTCAGAAATCCGAGCTGTTCCACTTGTTAACAGAGAGCGAGGAAGATTTGAAGACTTGAAAGTTCACTTTTTGACAGATCCTGAAAACGAGATGAAGGAGAAGCTCTTGAAAGAGTACTTGATGGTGATCGAAATCCCCGTCCAAGGCTGGGACCACGGCACCACCCATTTGATCAATGCTGCAAAGTAAGAGTTTATCCTTAGTTCTGTCCTTTGTCAGCTTCAACTGCTTTTACTTCTACCACATAAGCTGAGGCCATCCCAGAGCTCAACCATAAAGTTATTTGAAGCCGGTTTCCTCCAATGTGCAACAGATCCAAGTGTGGTGTATATAGTCACAGAGGATGACATGAGGCCATACCAACTTGGGTTTCACATGGGAACGAGTAATTTCTCCATGGTCACTTTCCTGCATAGCTGGATGCTGACAGGATTGTGGCATTAAAGTCTCTTGAACCAAGGATAGTTTTGTTGTGTTTTATTTAATTGCCCTAGTACTAGGCTAGCAAGTGAAAATTCTTGGAAACAGAAGCCTTTTTCTCTTGGCTTCTTGGTAAGGACAGACACCTCAGACATAGTCGGGGTTGTGGATCATCTTTATGTGGATCATCTTCATGCATATGATTTTTGCCACATAGGAAGTAAAGGCAAGACCCAGACGACGTGCAGTGTGGGTGTCCAGATCTTAAACACTGGCTTTATGTTGGAGAGATGCCTATTTGTTAGGACTTGAAATACACCAGAGGGGGAGGCAGACACATGATAGAGGCTTAGAAGTGAGCAGACAGCACCTGGGGGGTATGTCCACTGCTTGGTCACTGTGCGGGGCAGTCCGTGCTGATAGACACCAGCTGCCAGTTTAAGATTAATAACACCAAAATACAAGCAACGAGGTCCCAAAGTAGTTTGAATTATAATGTAGACTAGTCCCAAAGGAACATGCTACATGATGTTTTACTAGAAGATTGACATCAGAGAAGTTAAAAAGTAAAAGTGAGTTTTTAAAAGAGTCAAGTGTAGCAGCGTCCCCAGAATAGCCCTTTCTTTAGAATTATCAGTAATTTGGAGTGGACCAAGATTGATTAAATAAGACTGTGGTTCTTGAAAACAATGAAACCTCCTTAGCAGTATTGGACTGTGCTCTGCTGGAGGTGTAGACTCATGATCATTGGCCTGCATTTCAGTGAGTGGTTATCAAGTTATTGCCATAATCCACATTCTAGAAGTTTGGCCTCTGAGCTCATGATGTGAAATTTTGTGTGTGAATGTGTATCCATGTTTGTATGTAGTCTCATATTTTTCTTTTTGGTCTTTAGGCTAGATGAAGCCAACTTACCCAAAGAGATAAATCTGGTAGATGATTACTTTGAACTTGTCCAGCACGAGTACAAGAAATGGCAGAACAATGAGCAGGAGCGGAGAGAGCTACATGCTCAGAATCCTTTGGAACCTTCCGTTCCCCAGCTTTCGCTCATGGACGTAAAATGTGAAACACCCAACTGTCCTTTCTTCATGTCCGTGAACACCCAGCCTCTGTGCCACGAGTGCTCAGAGAGGCGGCAAAAGACCCAAAGCAAACCCTCAAAGCTGCACTCCAAGCCAGGCCCCGAGGTGCTCCCTGGCATGGCTCTCGGGCCCTCCCGGGGCGAGGCCTATGAGCCCATGGGCTGGAGCCCCGAGGAGCCAGCTGGGGGGCCTCATTCGGCCCCTCCGACGGCGCCCAGTCTCTTCCTGTTCAGCGAGACCACCGCTATGAAGTGCAGGAGCCCTGGCTGCCCTTTCACGCTGAACGTGCAGCACAATGGATTTTGTGAGCGCTGCCACAACGCTCGGCAGCTGGGCACGGGCCACCCCTCGGACAGCACGAGGCACTTGGACCCCGGTAAGTGCCGAGCCTGCCTGCAGGACGTCACCAGGACGTTTAATGGGATCTGCAGTACTTGCTTCAAAAGGACTACGGCAGAGCCCTCCTCGGGCCTCAGCTCCAGCGTCCCTCCTTCCTGTCACCAGAGGTCCAAGTCAGACCCTTCGCAGCTTGTCCAGAGTCTCTCCACACATTCTTGCCATAGAGCCGGGACCGAGGCTCCCTCCGGCTGCCTCTCTCAGGCCACTCGGACTTCAGGGGACAGGATGGGGACCAGCAAGTGCAGAAAAGCCGGCTGCATGTATTTCGGGACTCCAGAAAACAAAGGCTTCTGCACGCTGTGTTTCATCGAGTACAGAGAAAACAAACGTGAGTGAACTGACGGATTTCCTAAGTCCCGTTTCTAAACCCCTGTGCTAGAAGCAGTTTTGCTCCTGAGCTGCCAGAAAGCAGCCCCTCTGGGCGGCGGGGGTGAGAGCAGCTGGCCCAGAGGGATGGTCACTCGGAGGCAAAAGACACAGAAAACCACCTTCCAAAGTCCTACAGCCCCTCTTAGATAGAGTTCATAGAATTTTATTTCACGTGGTCATTTAGCATCTGGCATTTGTGAGGCAGAGTTTAAACAAGACTTCTTTGGACATGTAGATGTAATAGAGAGAAGTCCAGAGTTGATGGGCAGTAGCTGAAGAGAGGGAAGTCTCCGCTGACCCTGAGAAAATGCGGGTGGTTTTAGAAACCTCTCGTTTGAAGAAGGACAGTTAGTGTCTCTGTTCTGTTACGTGCCTGGCACGTTCAAAAATGAGAGGTCTGTAAAGTCAAAGATGTTTCCGTAATGGCATTATCATCGTTTTTTTTTTTTTCTTTGACTGAATTTAGAAAAGGCCGTGCTCATGTACACACAGCCCAGGGTGCCCTAACCTATATCCAGAACCTGGCGGTCTCTCTCTCTCTGCTTGGAGACCACCTGTAGCACTGATGAGCTCCAACTCTCTTTCAGATTTTGTCACTGCCTCCACGAAAGCCAGTCCCACGGCCCCCAGGTTCCAGAATGCTGTCCCCTGCCTGGGAAGGGAATGTGGCACCCTGGGAAGCACCGTGTTTGAAGGATACTGTCAAAAGTGTTTCATCGAAGCTCAGAGTCAGAGATTTCACGAAGCCAAAAGGACCGAAGAGCAACTGGTGAGACATTTGGAGGTACTTCCCCTGCCTCTTTGGGCCAGCTCTCCTCACTGGAGTCGCTTCTTCCCACTGAGACAGTGGACTTTCCTCCCTGCCAAGTTCCGGGGAAGAACCTTAGGGTGGTTGTGGTGGGGGGAGAAGTCCCTGTAGCCCCCAGGGTGGGAAGTGCAGTAGGTACTCTTGATTTTCGTGGCCTAACTGTACTTTAGAATTCATTTAAAAAGTAAATCGAATCAGCCATAGAATAAAACCTTAAAGTCTCCGAAAAGCCTGATACCAAACAGAGACTTTTTGATTTGTAGCAGCACAGGGATCTGAGTGGCCAGCAGACTTTTGGAAGTAGTCCTTTATCAGGAGACAGGAGAAGGAGGCAGAGTAGCCCACTCGCCTGCACACAGTGGCATAGGAGAAAAGCCAACTTAGGCTGACGGTTGCCTCTCCATGGCATAGTTCACAGCATGGTAGGGAATCTGTCTGGGGAAAGCCAGCTTCTCACTAATCCAAGCGGAGGCTAGCTGGGCCAGCCTTCGCAGGCCTCCAGGTCAGGTGCTCCTCGGTTGCACTCAGGGTGCTCTCACGGGACTGGAAGGAGGCGTCTTTGGCGAGCTCCCAGTCGCAGACAGCAAGTGCAGCTCCGGCTCCTTGGGTCAGGCGGTGGCTCTCCACCCCACAGAGTTCTTGGTAACACCCGCGCAGGCAGACGAGATTGCCTGGTGCTCTCCCTGAGCAACTGGCCAACAGTTCTCTCTGCTCTTTCCATTCAGAGATCTAGCCAGCGCAGAGACGCGACTCGAAGCACGGCGAGCGCCTCCAGGCCCAAGTGTGCCCGGGCCTCCTGCAAGAACATCCTGGCGTGCCGCAGCGAGGAGCTCTGCATGGAGTGCCAGCACCTCGGCCAGCGCGTGGGCGCGGGGGCCCACCGGGGCGAGCCGGTTCCCGAGGAGCCCCCCAAACAGCGCTGCCGGGCCCCCGCCTGCGATCACTTCGGCAACGCCAAATGTAGCGGCTACTGCAACGAGTGCTTCCAGTTCAAGCAGCTGTACGGCTGAGGGGTGCGGGGGGGCCCCGGGGACCTGGAGCCTCAGCGGGAAATGGTGCTAGCCGCAGCGAGCTGCGGGCAGCTTCGAGCAGGGGAGCAAAGAGAAGCTCGGGTCGCGGTCGCGGCCGCGGCCAGCCTGCCCAAGTGGCCTTGGAACGAGAGCAAGGCCAGTGACGGGCGGCGGATGGGCTGCTGCTCTCCCCCCCGCCGCCTCGCCTCCACGCGGAAGGCCAGGAACTGCGTGGACTCGGAATGTGTGCCGGGACTACATCATCTCGGGAGAAAAAGGAGAAGAAGCTCATTCAGGTGGCTTGGGGATCCCGGAGCCGTTCCCCCCACACAGCCCCACGCGGGCCGGGCTTGGAGCCGTGGAGCCGACCCGCCGCGCCCGCAGGCCCTCAAGTTCAGGAAGCTCAGGGAGAACGGACAAATTCAGTGTCAGTGGTGAGTGGTCTTTCCCTCCCCGCCTCGTCCATTTCCCGCGGACACGGCAGACACCGAGCTGTCCACAGACTGTGGCTCTGAGGCTGCTGAGACCGAATCCGTTCACGCTGAAGAGCAAACCAGCTGCTCTTTACAGTATGCACCTTGGAGGAAATCAGAACTTTGTAGTGGAGAGATGTGTGCCTCTCTTGGTTATCACTGTCGTCACTTCTAAAGAAGTTAGCCTGAGGTGTGCATGAAAATGTGTACATATATAATGTACCCTTATATTATGTATGAGGGAATTGTTTTTATTGTGGTGAAATATATTGTCTATATAATTCACTTTATTTATTTTATTTCAAACTTCAGGGTTATTTAAATGAAGATGTTTCTTCTGCTCTGGGTAAAGTGTTTGCTGTAGTGTCTTCTTGAAATAGCGTATTCATAGTCCTCTTTTGGGCGAGTACCTGAGTGCCTTGGGGATTTGGTCTCTTTGATGTACTGTGGTTGTCTTCCCTAAGAAAGAAGGAATTGCACCAAAGGTATATTCATTAAAAGCTCATGCTTCTTGATGAAACTTGGGTTAGAGCCTCTTGCTAGCCAGATGAAAAAAATAAAAATAAAAATAAAAAAAGTAACTGCTTTCCGCAGTAAACAGATGCCTTGAATATCCTACCTCTTGAGAGATAAAATTGGGAAGGAATGGGGATGAGATTGGAGAAGGTCACTGAGACGATGTGACCTTTAATGATAGTTTTATTTGCTGTGTTTTAACTTTCTGTCCTGGTAGCAACTGCACAACCAGTGGCACCTTCGCGCTGGGACAGCAAAACTCTGTGACTATGAGCATAGGAAATTTCTTTCTGTCCTTGGCCTGCAGTTTCTCTGTTTGCTTTGTGTTGCTGTCATACTTGTTATAGAAAAAAAAAGGGGGAAACACATTGTCCCCAGAGGTAAAGGCTGCCATTTTTTTTTGGGGGGGTCTGGAACTTATGACCTAAAAATATTAGTAATCTATAACTCTACACAGCCTTTACTTGTATTACCTGACATGTTTGCCACCTCGAGTGCTATTTCCTCAACATAAATTTTAATCATTTTTTCTAAAGATCTCAAATAAACATCAGTGTTCATCTAGTTCTTCTAAAGTCAATATTTTAATATTTTGTGTGTATCAATATTTTCATTCTTAATGTGAAAAATGGAATTATTTATACTTATTTTAGAAAGCATTTGAAATTTGCACATTTAGTTGTCCCTGATAGAGAGCTGTTTATTCTGTTGGATTCCTTCAAGTTTTCCTAAATATGTGTAACTTTTCACAAAAGTCAATATTAAAAAATAAATTATTTAAGAACAGATTTTGATGTTTTCTGCTTACAAATGGTGAGAGAAAGAGACCCAAATACTAAGGCTATGTTTCCCAAGCAGCCTCATATTCAGGTACACCCGGATAGTGGACATGCGTCCCACCCCCATGTAGTAAGAACTTTGCGAACTTTATAACGGCATGAGGGTGAGTCATTGTTCCACTGCAGGGACACTGAGGCCCAGGCAGGAGTGGGAAGGGTCAACCTGTCCCATTCTCAGGAGACATTAGGTCCCTGTGCCTCTCTAAAGGTTGCTGCCTTCGGCCTTCTTGCAGTGCAGAAAAGGAAAACAGGAGAGAGCAGCAGAGAGAGGCTTAGTAAGAAAGAAATAGGAGGGAAGTGGGAAGCCTGGTGTAAGATTTCCTGGGTCGGACCTTAAAAGAGGTGACAGATGGCCGTGGTGGCTTCAAGGATCGACAGCACCAAAGGCCTGGGAAATTATAAAATGACGCATTCTTCCACCCAATCCAAATATACCCACAGAAGATTGATTCAGGAGGACTGCAGATTCCGAAATCCTTTTTTTTTAAACCTCCCCAGGAGATTCTGATCATCAGCGAGATTTTAGAACCATGCTTTGACAAATCATTCGTGATCTTTTGTTAACTTATTATGGGAAATGTTAACACACAAGAAAGCAGAGTTTAATGAACCCCCATGTGTCCATTACTTGGTTTTGACAACGATCAGCATTTTGCCAGATTTGTTTCATCTTTCATTCCCTCTTTTTCTTCTGGATGATTTCAAAGCAAATCCCAGCCATGTGTGTCCTCACACCCACAAATACATCAGTGTGCATCTCTAATTGATCTTTTTTTTTTTTATACAACCATCATTTTTACACCTAGATAAATTATTTTTAGTGTCATACTAAGTATGTATTCTAACTTCTCAGGTTGTCCACTGTGGAGACATAGTCCTATTGCTTTAGGGTTAGCTTAAGCCTCTTTTATTCTGTAACATTCTTTTTTAATTTGTTGGGGCAATTCGATCTTTTCTTCTGTAGAAGGGCCCACATTCTGGATTTGGCTGATTGCTTTCTTATGGTGCCATTTAACTTATTCTATAATGTACTTTGGATCTAATTCTGGTTCAGTGAGGCAAGAAACACTCAGGGTCCCATCAAGTCCCATCCTGTGTGAGCTATATGAATGCCAGCCCAGAGGAATCATAAAGCCTCAAATTCAGCTCTTCTCTTTTTGTCCATTCTTCCTCCCACCTCTCACCCAGCATTAAATGCTACAATTCTTCAATCAGCATGATGAACACAAGCATTTGACCATAAGTCATCAGGATTTCTAAAATAGGAAGTGACTTAAAATTAGCAAATTATCTCTGACTCAGAAGAATAACCCACAGACAGGGTAATAGGGGGCAGGTTTGGAGGACAGCAAAGGAGCCCAGCGGAGATGGATCTCCGGATGGGGATGCCTATAAGGCATACACACAATTTTATGTCTGGGTGTGTTCGTTTTTCTTCTGAAGTGGAGCCAATCAGAGGCTTTCTTCAGAGTCTCAAAGAAATGGATGATTTTCCAAAAAAGCCAAGAACCTCAGCATAAAGAGAGCTGAGAATTAAGACTTGGGAGGAACTGATTTTTGCTTCCAGCACTGCAAATATCACCCTCATACCAGCACTGCAAATGTCACCCTCACACCACAAGAGTGGAAGATCCTGTCATCCAAAATTGAACTCTTAATGTTCTATCCCTGTCCCCTTCCTCCCATGCTCAGAAAAGGGCATTATCTTCCCAGCCACTCTAGACTTTTTCTCCCTCCTCCCACCTCCAAACTTTATGAAGTGTTATTTCCAAAGTATCTCTCAAATCCACTCGTCTCTAGACTTCTGCCACTCTGGCTTGGTCCCTAGCTTCCTTCTGCCTTTTTGCCTCCACTTTCCCCTTTCTAGCCTGCTCTCTCGCATAACTTGACTGCCCACCTGTGCCTGTAAACCAGAGACCTGGTGAGATGTCTCCTCTAATTAAAATTCCCTGACGACTTTCCCAAAGCTGGCTGCATGCAACAGAGGGTGCAGGAAGAAAGGAGGAAACCTCGGAGTTCGTTTGCTATTTGATACATGAATGACTGTTCCCCCTTTCTCAACATCAGAGGCCACTGTCCCCTGAGCAGTCCTGAAGGAACTATGAGTTGCCCAGCTAAGAGGGGGTAGTAGTGACAACTGCATTCATTTACTTCCTGCATGTTGAAAAAATCACATTTGAATTATCCCATGTTATGTGATTTTATGGCCAAAACTGATGGAGCCATGCCACGTATAAACTTACCTATCTGTACACCTAAGCTTGGAAGCAACGATTTTTAGTCTGTTAAAAAATTACCCAAAGAAGAGTTTCAAGGGGTTTTGTACCCATTTATTGGAAATACCAGCATAGCTCTCCATCTTCACATCTAATTGACATCCAAGATTGGAATTTGCTACCTGCGTTTCAACAAAAACCATTGCATAGTTGATAGCTAGAATGAAATGATAAGGAGGCACGATAACTTTTATTCTCTCTGGTCTGCTTTCTATTGCTTTTCTATCCTCTGTAGGTGTCCTTTCCAGCTCTGGAGGTCATTAACATCAAGGATCACAGCAAAGTGAACTGAGACTTCGGAATAGCTTTATCACAATGTGAAAGATAATGATTTATTTTTTTTAATAATGAAGTATATTTATTGATTTTATTATTTCTTATTGAGAGCAAAAGGTGTTTTTACCATTAATAAAAATAATTATTTTAGAGTATTACTTCATCTTTATCTCACTGCTTTGAAATCCTCACTTTTTTTATTTTTAATAGTATGTTTTCATTGATTTAAAATAATACATATATTGTGAATGCACTCTCAGACATGTTTTTAAAGATTTAAATCAACACATGAGATGAGATCAAAAGCCCTTGGAATTGGGGCACCTGGGTGGCTCAGTGGGTTAAGCCTCTGCCTTTGGCTCAGGTCATGATCTCAGGGTCCTGGGATCCAGCCCTGCATTGGCCTGCTCCCCCCTCAACCCCGCCTGCCTTTGTGCCTACCTGCGATCTCTCTCTCTCTGTCAGATAAATAAATAAAATCTTTAAAAAAAATTTTTAAAAGCCCTTGGAATTGAATTTCCAACATGTTATGTGGTGCTGTTGACAATTTGAGCCAATTTAAGTATTCATTTTTTCCGTCTGCCACTAGTATAGATATCTCCTGACCTTCTATATTCTCTTCTGTTCCCTCTAGAAAAGACATACTTTGGTCTCGGGACCCTTTTACACTCTTAAAAATTATTAAAGACTCCAGAGAGCTTTCATTTAT